ATGTAATTCCAAAAAAAAAGCTTTTTTGTGTAGTTGAGGCTTTATGATTTAAATCACGGTGATTAGCATGGAAAACTTCTCTCACTTGTGCATTCCCTGAGAATAAATGTCTCAGCCAGCACTTTTATCGATAACCAAACCTATGCATGTAAGTGCGGAAACACGGAGCAGCTCTTCTCATTCTTCTCCTCCATCTTACATAAGTAAAGCGGAGCGAAAATAATAATTTTCTGCTGATTCGAAGTCCTAGGTTAGTTGAGAAGGGAAAACTAAGTGGTCAACATACAAGTGTTCAAACAAAAGGTTCTCTCCTTTCTGTTATTGCGAGTGGATTGATTTTTAAGGTCATGTCACGAACTACTCACATGCAGCTTATCAAAGAAGTTGTGAATAACAAACGTTCCGAGTTTTCTGTAAAATATTAGTGGCATTTCATTTCAAGGTTGTTAGACGAGTAGCACACAGAAATAAAATCAGTAGAAACAACCAAAAAATTTTCATCTTTTCATCTTCTGCTTTACCAAAGCCTGAATTTTTGACTTCACGTCTTTTCCAAAATGGCAACGCGAGAGGGATCCGAATTATTCTGCTGCCTATAGCGATGCGGAATTAGACTTTTTTATTTTTGTGACTTACGCAGAGCAAAAAATTTACCGACCCTACTCCACCCGTTCCTTAGGCCCGTATGCACGTACTTCCCCGCTGGGGAGGAGAGGGGAGCTGGATCCCTAGGGGAACGATCCCCTCCGCAGAACCCCGCCATGACAGAGGGGAGGGGAGCGATCCCCTCCCCTGGGGAGACGGTCAAGAGGCGCGATTTCTCCGGCTGTCACCAACTTAAAACTCCAGTTTGTGCTATGCGAGTCTTCATATAGTATTATATAAAGTGCATTGGATTACTATCTGTCTGAGGTTACCACTCGCCGAGTTTGATGGCTTTTGCTGGAAAACGGACCGAAATATTTGCGAATTTGTTCTTAGCTGCATTTTCATGGGTTTTTAACCTTCAAAATTGCTCTTTTGAATTGATACCAATGTAGCAAGATTGAGCAACCCATGCAACTTCTAAATATATCTCCTTTCAAAATTTCAGTACTTTTTGAATGTTATAAAACACTTATTATGTGCTTTTTGGAGTCCATCTGGCAATAAAAATCGCGCCTCTTGACATACACCCCCTCCCCTGCACCTAAGCGGGGATGGTGTGAATGGTTTCAGAGGCATTGATCGAGCGAACCCCAGTGCATACGGGATTCGAATAGGGGAGGGCATCCCTTCCCCCCCCCCCCCCACTCAAACCCGTATGCGCGAATTTAACTCAATAACGCGGGAGGGGATCGACATCCCCTACAACGGAGTAGGGGTTCGATGGTGTAGATCAAGCCAGAGAAGCGAGTATTCTGATTTCAATCAATTGTTACAAAGCATTTCGTTCAAATTGATGAAAAATTTTATGCGGGTGCCGGGCTCCTCTCTCAGCGACCTGCAGCTTGCAGTTTTAACTCTCTCTTTCATATTTGCTTCTTGTAAAGAATTCCGGACATAGATCTGCTAGTTTCGAATATCTTTACAAGGTTGTGACCATTCACGAGAGTTGCGCATTTTTTATTTGACATGATAGTTTTATCCATTAAGGCTGGTACAACATATTGTAACTATCACATTGTATGATAAATTGTTCTTATCTTGTTATCCTAACGTAAAACTGTTTGAATAAATTGAAAATTAGCAGACTTGCGTGTTTCTGAGTAAAAATCCTCGGGGGAATGATCCCTTTCCCATCGCTCCCCTCTTGCATAGCAGGGATGGCCGCTGGGGATCATTCCCCTGGGGTAAAGGACGATATGCAGCTGATAGCTACAGCGTTTATGGAGAGCTGGCACGATTTGCAGCTTCAGTTATGTGTAGAAATGCTGGTTTGTATGTCCGCCCCCCCCCCTTTTTTCGGCAGCATAACGTCTCTACCCATTCACTGCATATACATACACCTTGACTTCTATTACTGAACACCTTTAAGCTGAAATGGGCAGCATGGGCGAAAATGAGCAGCATCCATGAAAACAGCTGGAATATAATAGATGTAGGAATATTTTTTTAGTGTGCCTATCACAATCACGGCAGACGGCATTCCGCAACGACTAAATATCGCCGCGACACGTTGAAGGCGAGTAGCTATCAAAAGATAAGAAAAAAGGAATGATTACTGCAAAAAAGCGGAAGCAAAATGAGTTCCCTGCTCGATCTCCCCTTCTGCATAAGGGAGCTCTCCTCCCCTACTCCCAGGGGATCCCCTCTCCGGTATTGCCTTTCTGCATACGGGGATTCCCTCCCCGCGGGGATGTACGTGCATACGGGCCTTAGAAGCGAGTAGAAACCATCGACCCAGACGCTGACGTTCTTCTGTCGTTTTCAGAGCGGCAGACGTGAAAAATTTGCGTCCTGGTTTGGCTAGATAATTAAGGTAAGAAGGTTAAAGGAGCTAAATTCAAGCACATTTTGAGAGCTATTATCACCTGACGATTAGGCTGTTTTTTTATGGCACAAAAATCTACAACGAATATTCAATCATGCAAACTTTGAAGAGAAAACAGTCTCTCTTTCACCATATTTGTTTCCTCTCGAAGCCGCGGAAACCATTTATGAAAACACCTAGTATATTCAGAAAAATAGAGACATTTTCAGCACTATTTTCTCAGTAAAAGAAAGAGAAGCCATAAAAATGTATTACTTTTGGTACCTGAAATGTAACACAGCTAAGTAAATTTTCTAGATGTAGATGTACCAAAAATGCGGGAAAACACTGCCTTAAATAGCTCATGAAGTAAACTTCTTTTTTTTACGTAACGCGTATGCTATGCGCACACTCTAAATGACACAAAATCATGTGTTTCTCGAAGTGAGCGAGACAGAAACCTTTGATCTCCGCAATGGAATGACATCAAAGAATGTGTTATTTTGTAGGCAAACCATGATGATTCGCAGATTAGCCACACTAGCTCAAAAAGATTTGGCTCTATGCAATCCAATTTCATTACGTAGGATAACGCAAGAATTTTCTAGCATCTCTTGGTCATGATTCAAAATGGAGCGCTATGGCGGTGATACTTGCCCTAGTGTTGTTTCAGGAAGCTTCCATAGATAATAATCGCGAAAACATCTCTTAGGCTTTATTCCAGCAATATTCAGTGGCGAGTAACAATATTTTGTTTTTCAAATAGCATAAATCATTGCTTTTTTAATCCGGCCATTAACGAGAACTAAAACAAGTGGAGCAATTTTATGTAGATAGCTTCTGCATATCAACTCACCAACGGGGACTTTTGGTAAAAAGGCTTGACCAACAGTTATATGAACAAAGTCAACGTTGGTACTACTCGTGATGCATTACTTTGGCAAGTTCTGTCCATGCAGACATTCAATTTTTGTGGACAATTGAAGATAAAGCAATTTCGAAGACAATCACGGGTTTGACTGTAAACTTTCCACTAAATAATCTGATTGCGAGTTATCTGCGTTTCAAGGGTTTCTTTCTACTTATAAGCAGATTTTTGAAGAAGTGCGTAATTGCAATTTGGCCCGATCTATTTAACAGCTTGATGACATCCCTCTCACTGACGTGTTTTGTGATTCAAGTAATTTTGAAAAAAAAACCGTGCGTGTTTTTGAATGGTCAAAAGACTTCCATATGATGATTTCGAGCATACGCGCGTATGCACAAAATATTATGTGGAAGTCTTTTTGACGCTTGTTCATGCAATGCAAACCATTATTTTTAAAATTACTTCAAGACTTCTGCATCATTTCCTCCTTCAATAAACTATGCAATGGCTATGTGTGAGAATCTCTTTCCGAGGAAAGCGCTATAATATTGAGTGTTTCTTGCCTAAATGCATCTTTGATTCTTCTCAGAACAGTTGTACAAATTTCAACCTTCTCACAAGGGAAAGATTTTTGATCGAAATGGCGTTCCCATATAAAATGTAAACTGTATTGAAGAGATGGGACACTAATTTCAAATCTGCTTTCGTTATCTGCAAAGCTCTTCTGGGAGGAGAGTTATGGGACTTTTTTTTAAAAGAAATTTGGATCCGAGGCTACAATAAAATCATACGTGTATCCTGTGAGTTTAGATGGGGCTATGATTACTGCCAGGGTGCTCAGTGTAATTATTAGTTTCAGTCCAACACTTTATGCCTTCACTACTTCCTTCAAGCATTGGTAAGGCTGCGTTCATGCTGATCCCGAAGTTTGGAAGCAGTTCCAGCATAGTGCTCACTTCGAGCGCTATGCTGGAACTGTTCCCGAACTTACGAATTAGCATGAATGCAGCCTAAGACTCAACGCCTGTTTTTACCTCAGCCAAGGTTTTGAATTTTGTTTAAAAACATTCCCATTATTCCCTTCCCAGAAAAGCTTTGCAGATAACAAAAGCAGATTCGGAATCAGCGTCCCATGAGCTATAAGGCACTGTACATTTCATATGGAAACTCCACTTCAGCCGAGTATGCTTTCCTTGTCAATAAAACACAATTGACCTATTTTGATAGCTAAATTTGTGTTCTAAACTTTTGTAGAGCTACCGCGATTACTCTATATGACAATCGGGCTACCAGTATTGTTACTGCATATGTTACCTTAGTACTTTTTTACACCTAAAAAACCGGTGTGCATGCGTGCATATACGCGTACGCACGAGGTCATCGATGTAATGTATAATGCTGACAGTGGACTGGCTGGCGAGGAAATCGCAAAGTGTGCTTTTCAACTGGTAATTCACTTCCATAAATCTACTAATTTTGAACATTTGACCGTGGGACAAAGAACAGAATTGTGTTAGCATGGTAAGATAAGCATACCAGCTATTCCCTCGTACATTGTTAATAAGCGAAAATTGCTGATAACTGAATAATATAGTTGTGTAGTAAAAACATTGACTAACTCGCATTATAATAACTTCATACTGGTATTTTGCGCAAAAAGCTCAAAAGACGTGCATCTGTTCAATGCAGTTCCTTCGTCCGTTGACCACCGAGACAATCCTCACAGACGCATCCTTTGCGGAAAAATTTTCCCATGAATGGTACTTTTTTGCAGTGTCCGTTTTGGCAATTCTGAATTTCGATTCAATGAATCAATTCTCAAATTGATGATTCGAATAGATGAGTAAATAGGCATACTAATCGTTTCAAGCAACGTGCTCTGCACCCAGAATCACCGATAAAAACGACGCAAAGGTCACGGTTCGGCACCAACAGATTCGCCTCGACTGAGATTTCCAAAACGAATAGCAGTAGTGAAAATGCAACAAAATGACGCATCATTTTCTAAACAAAGAAGAACGATTGGTTTGCAAATTTCATTTGATATTGATATAGTGCAATATAATAAGAAAGATTCAAAACCTTACCTGTTTTGTTTGGCTAGGTATTATTATAGCTCATTTCAGCATACAATACCGCTCGCATGTCCCAGAGAAAACGAAGCAGAATCGCCCCACATACGTGACATCGCCGTAGCGTAGCCATATCTCGCCTCAGAGTGGAAAAATTCTTGATTCAAGGGCACCATTCGACTTAGCTCAGCGCGGCGCATCTTCTAAGATATAGAAGTAACAGCTTGAACACAGTAGGAGCCCAGATTTCACGATTCGTCCCATTTTGCTCACGGTAGGTTGCCCAGTGAGTGCAATGAATAAGCGCACAGAGTAACCTACCGTAAGCAAAAATCTTAAACGATTCCTAGAATCTGGCTCCTTCTGTGTCCAAGCGACACTTCTGCGTAGTAGAAGATGCCCGCGCCTTGCTGAGTCGAATGGTGCCCTTGGATCAAGAATTCGTCCACACAAGCGAGTTATAGACATGCGACGGTGACGTCACATGAATCAGGCGACTGTGCATCTTTTTTTCAAAAAAAAAAAACGGTATTGTACGATGCTTGTTTGTTAGACCAGCTTCCCAAACACCAGTTTTTAGGCATTAAGAATGTTCAGAATGCGTGATTCTGCATCAGCCGACCTGTTCTGACTTTTCCTGAGAGACTACTACCAGAAAAACTATCTGGCGCAGTTTTTGATCACATTGAAGCCCAAGAATTTCATTTGTGAGACTGATTTGAATTTGCAAAGATTTTAATTACATTCAATACTTATAAAATAAACAATTAATTGCACAGCTTTCAACTCTTGTGGAATATTTTCACGAATATTGTGAAATCCTGCTTTTACCTTCTAAGGCAAAATGCAGGCACGAGCCAGAGTTTGGAGATCGGGAAGCATAGAGAGATTTTCTGCGATTGTCTAGTTAACGTATTATTAATTCTTCCATAAAAGATGTTGCTTTTTCATTTTGTTCTTAAACTTTGCTTGCGTTTTTGTTGCCAGAAAATCCATACCAATGCAGCGTTATTGCATTTTGGGTTGGTTTGGGAAATGCAGCTGAGGTATGTACGGTGAGAGGATCAACTCGAGAGCGTGAAGAAGTGCACAAAGATTCAGAATGACTCCGCCAATAGCAATTCGCATCATTTATTAGTACGGATGTTTCGTTATTAAATTGGTACGCCCTCTACTAAAACCATTATCTTTGCCAATACATGAGCGAATAGAAACTGTCAGTGCTATCGTACCACCTTTTCATCAATATAATGATGTTAAGCGCTTGGAATCGTTGATATGAGATGCTTATTCTTGAGCATGCCGAAACCCTACTTTTATAGCTGAGCTATTTTCAAAGCCCAATTTGTTGCCCAATAATCACCATCCGCTTCTCTTTCATCAATCCAAGAAGCCCATTTACAATGCAAGTCATCAGCCGAATCGACCCAGAGAGCAGCCGAAGAATATGACGAATTTTTCCCAAATGATTCATTTCATTGTTTTGAGCGCGTACTCATTGTATGAGGGATGCGTCTAGTGAGAAAAGTAGGCTAGTCATAGGACTCAGAAATTCAGCGCTGTTGGGACTAAAAAAATAAAGTCTATCCAACAAAACTCTCAATCACACAAAAAAGCATTTACAGGGTGCGCCAAAAGTCTGGGAGCCTAGCACTTTTTCGTACAAAACGAGAAGGGAAGTACCTAGAAACGAAAATTTTGGCGCACACATAATTCGAATCATTGCAGATACAGCCCAGTTTTTGAATTGCAATACTGCCTTTTTTGGCTTTTAGGCAACCCTACAAAATCTGGGCAAGTCCACCTGTCATGGCACGCAGGTAGTCGTAATGGAATTCGCCCCACCCTTCACAATAACTGCTTCTTTTACTTTGGCAAATGTGCAGCACGATAGAGCAAGCTTTTATCTACAACATGCTTCCAAAAAGGTTTTTTGCATTGCTTAGGAATAAAAATATTGGATTTTCAATTAGAAACATGTGTACGTCGCATACCCGAATTTTGGCTACAGTTGCGCAAATAAACTTTAAAAATATCGTTTAAAAAGTATAAAAAGTGTTTCCATGGCCGAATTTCAATAGATACTAATTAAGAAGACTTATGCAAAAAATACAGCCTTGGTCCTAGAGCCTGTTGAGCATTCTATAGCTTTTAGATTTGTTCTGAAGACGGATTTTCACTGGCACGTAGGTAACATTTGCAAAATTTTATTTTCCCTTTATGCAAGAACAGCTCCTGGCAAAAGCAAAACTACGATCCAATAGCGCAAAGCCTCTTCTATATTGTGTGCATCGAAGTGTCGTAGAATACTAACAGCATTTCTAGCTTTAGCAAAAATTGTAAATACTAAGAATTCTGGTTTTTTCGCTTTGCAAAAGTATCAGTTTGGTAATTTCCGATCTTACAAAAACATATGGCAGCCATTTTCAGCTAGATAAAGTGTATTTTGTAGAAGAAGACCGCAGCATCATGTGGCATAAAATTCAAATCAAAACCACCAGTATCTTTGTAATTGCAATGCTGCAAAGTTAGGCTCCCAGACTTTTGCCGCACCCTGTACAATTGAATAATATATTTATGTAAAATATCGGTGTCCCCTTCACAGTACTCACTAAAAGGAAAAACTATGAGTCATTCACTCGGTCCCTGAGCTGACGTGATGGTGTCAACGGGAATGAGGAAAGTGCTACTCAAAAATTGCATCTTGCGAAACCCAGTTGAATTTTGGGCTCTTGGAACGATAGGGAGATACAAAAACAGACTTGTTGTTGGAACCATCCTTCCCTCCTCTACCCCCCCCCCCCACCCCTCTTGTCACCTAGAATCTCTTACGGCTAAACTGAGGTAGTAAATATTTTTGGAGCAAAGTTACCATTAAAGAAGATTAACTTACGTCAGGTTGGAGCACAATTCTTGCACGAAAATGAAAAAAATTGCTTTAAAAATTCTTAAACAAACTAATTAACTCAAACGATATGTTCTTTGTTATGTATATCAAAAGTATTCTATAATACGTTTTAGATTTTTTCAATATGATACAAAATCGATGAGCCATTTCAAAAAATTGGAATTTGTAATTATTCCCAGACACATCCAATCACTACCAACTTCTTTCATTCAAAAAGAGCATGCCATAAAATTTGAATCAAAAATGAACTTAAATTCTAGACGGTGTAGCTATTTTGGTGACTAAAAATAGAAGAAAAAACTCTGTTTGGATGTTTTTCTTCCTCAAGGAATTTTGGCTCAGACGCCTTCAGAAAGCGCAAGAATTGCTCCCTCTAATGATCAAACCAGCGCAAAAGTTGCTCAGATTTGCTCCTTTAATGTGCATCAAACCAGAAGATTCAACGTGGATATAACAGAACTTCAAAAATTTTAGTGCAAGAATTACGCATCAACCTATCAGTAGGCAGGAAGACAATGAAGAATATTGTCAATCTTGCCTCATACCTTGCAAATGCACGCACCCTCATACCGTAGTAGCACTCTCTGCTATTGGCCTACTAAACGCTGCTTCACGGTCAATTATTTGTGGGAGTGTAGTTTGTAAGAGACGGAGGATCACTGATGAATCAAGAATATGCTGAAAAATATCAATCTGATAACAGGACATAACATCAAAAAACGAGGGATCACCCTCCTTTTTACGGTACATTATGACTAATCAACCAAGTATAAAGAGCTCATTAACTTTTACTTTATCAAAAGACGCCTCGTTTATTCAGCCGCAACGTTCTGTTAACAAACGCTCTTCTCCTTTAAGCTTTACCCATGAAAATTCCCGACAATCTTCTTTATTTGCGAGTTGTGCATTTTTTTTTGGCACTTATGGCAAAAGTTATCACAAGTTAATTCTTTTTAGCTTATTCTGTACCAATCGAAGATTGTTTTCGTAACAGTTCTGTCAGTAGAAATATTGCGCGAGGGGATTAGCGTTGAAAAACAGACGATTATGAATGTGTAATTGGAGTTCTAACTTGGGCATCAATTTATCACATGTAGAACATACTTTGTAAATTGTTCGAACAAAAAAAAAAGCAGAAATGCTGAGCGGTGGATCAACATAGCCATTCCATTTATCTGAAACTCTCACCCTCACTTCGACTAGCTTTGTCGTATTCTTTGTTGTCACTCGTATCAAATGACACTGAGAAAAGCGAAAATGCACTTTGTGACTAATCGATGGGCATGGGACCTCATTAATCCAGAATGATCGTTTGAATCCATTAGCGCTTCGCTTTTGGAGTAATTTTGGGTTTTAGAAATAAAATCGGAGTGGTATCGTGTGGTTGATGTGTATTTTCTGAGAGGAATGGAGCTTTTGATAAAATCTGTCAGGATGGTGATTTTTGAGGATATAGCTTTATGGCATTTATACACCGCATTGCTCATTCTGATTCCGAGGTCGTCACGACCATGTAACGACCACGACTTCCGGACTTTGACGTTGTATGCTGATTGCACTCTGCGCAAAAAACCCGTCGCTCGACATTGAAGCCCCCTCCATGGCTTCCATAAAATTGCGCATGCATTTGTTCGGAATCATCCTAATTATGCATACCAGTGCATTCTGGCGGACTAGCAAGTCGTCGAGGGGTCGTGTTTAATAAAGGGGGGGGGGTGAAAATGCTAATTTCCTTGTCATCACAATCGCGCCAACTGCCGTGTTCTGCCTTGGTGGCGGTAGATAAAAAACCGTCTAAATAAACTGCGACTACGGTTTAGAATTGAGACGACGACATGCGGACGACCAGACAGAATTCCAAGGTGTCGATTTGCTATAGGCAATAAAGGTTTAGCCATCTACAATCGTTCCTCTTTCTAACAAGCGAAGACCTCAGTCGAGGTGGGGTTCCACATGTGATGCACATCATTGTACTGGTCCTGGGGAAATAATACCAAATCCGTGTTCCTTAGCTGCTCAGT